GCAATCAGGCTGGCAGGGGAGAGCAGTTAGGGGCAAGATCAGGCCAGCAGAGAAGGGCAGTTGGGGGCAAGATCAGGCTGGCAGGGGAGGGCAGTTGGAGGTGAGATCAGGCCGGCAGGGTAGGACACTTAGGGGCAATCAGGCAGGCAGAGGCAGTTAGGAGCAATCAGGCTGGCAGGGGAGAGCAGTTAGGGGCAAGATCAGGCCAGCAGAGAAGGGCAGTTGGGGGCAAGATCAGGCTGGCAGGGGAGGGCAGTTGGAGGTGAGATCAGGCCGGCAGGGTAGGACACTTAGGGGCAATCAGGCAGGCAGAGGCAGTTAGGGGCAATAAGACAGGCAGGCAGGTGAGCCATTAGGAGCCAGCGGTCCCAGTTTGCAAGAGGGATGTCTGACTGCTCAATTTGCTTAGGTGATGTATCTTGTTTATTGATTTGTGGATATTATACCAGCCTTGCATCCTTGAAATAAATCCCACTTGGTCATGGTGTATGATCTTTCTAATGTAATGCTGGATCTGATTTGCTAAGATTTTGTTGAGGATTTTAGCATCTATGTTCATCAGGGCTATTGGCCTATAATTCTTTCTTTGTAGTGTCTTTATCTGGCTTTGGAATTAGGGTAATGCTGGCTTCATTGAAAGTGCTAGGAAGTGTGCTTTCCTCTTGAATTTTTTGGTATAGTCTGAGAAGGATAGGTTTTAGTTCTTTGAAAATTTAGTAAAACTCCTCTGTGAAGCTGCCTGGCCCCAGGCTTTTGTTTGCTCGGAGTTTTTTTTATGACTGCTTCAATTTCCTCCTTAGTTATCAGCCTGTTGAGATATTTTGATTCTTCTTGATTGAGTTTTGGTAGGTCGTATTTTTCTAGGAATATGTCCATTTCCATTAGGTTGTTTAGTTTGTTGGAATAGAGTTGTTCATAGTATTTTTTTTTTTTACAATCCTTTGTATTTCTGTAGGTTCTGTTGTTATTTCACCTCTTTCATTTCTCCTTTTGTTTATTTGTGTCCTCTCTCTGCTTCTTGGTGATCCTGGCTAGAGGTTCATCAATCTTGTTTATCCTTTCAAAGAACCAGCTCTTGGTTTCATTGATCTTTTGTATTGTGTTTTTTTTTAATCTCTATATCATTTATTTCTGCTCTAATATTTATTATCTCCTTCCTTCTGCTCATTCTGGGCTTTTCTTTGTGCTCGCTTCCTAATTCTTTAAAGTTGTAGAGTTAGATAATTTATTACCAGTTTTTCTTGTTTCTTTGAGGTAGGCCTGTAATGCTATGAACTTTCCTCTCAGGACTGCTTCCACTGTGTCCCATAGGTTTTGGAGAGTTGTGTTTTCATTGTCATTCATTTCCAGGATGTTTTCAATTTCTTCTTTGATCTCTTTGGTTAACCAATCATCGTTTAATAGCATGCTATTCAACCTCCAAGTGTTTGAATATTTTTTATTGTTTTTATTGTAGTTGATTTCTAATATTATGCTATTGTGGTCTGAGAAGATGCTTGATATGATTTCAATCTTCTTGACTTTGGAGAGACTTTGCCTGCAACCCGATATGTGGTCTATCTTTGAAAATGTCCCATGTGTACTTGAGAAGACTGTATATTCTGTAGCTTTGGGGTGAAATGTTCTGAAGATGTTAATTAAGTCCATCTGATCTAGTGAGTCATTTAGCATTGCTATTTCTTTGCTGATTTTTTGTCTAGAGATTTATCCAGTGATGTCAGTGGGGTATTAAAGTCCCCTACTATGATTGTATTGATGTCGTTCTCTTCCTTGATATGTTCCAGAAGTTTGTTTTTTAATGTATTTGGGTGCTCCAGCATTGGATGCATATAGGTTTATCAGAGTTTTATCCTCTTGTTGTATCAATCCCTTTAGTATGATGAAGTGGCCTTCCTTATCTCTTATTATGGCCTTCACTTGGAGGTCTATTTTGTCAGATATAAATATTGCTACCCCAGCTTTTTTCTCATTTCCATTTGCCTGAAAGATATTTTTCCATCCCTTCACTTTCAGTCTGTGTGAGTCTTTTGTTCTGAGGTGGGTTTCTTGTTGACATCATATATATGGGTCATATTTTCTTATTGATTCAGCCACTCAATGTCTTTTGATTGGGGCATTTAGTCCGTTTATGTTTAAAGTTATTATTGATAGGTACTTATTTGTCGCCATTTTTATTTTTTTGCCTGTGTTCCTTCTCCCCACGCCCCCCTTTTTTGTTCTTCTTTTCATAACAGTCCCTTTAGCATTGCTTGCATTGCTGGCTTGGTAGTGATAAACTCCCTTAGCCTTTCATTGTCTGTGAAGCTCCTGATTTCTCCTTTAATTTTGAATGATAGCCATGCTGGATAGAGTATTATTGGATTCAGTCCCTTGCTTTACATCACTTTATGTACTTCCTTCCATTCCTTTCTGGCCTGATGTGTTTCTGTTGAGAAATCATTTGATAATCTAATGGGAGATCTCTTGTAGATAACTTTATGTCTCTCTCTTTTAGCCTTTAAGATTCTCTCTTTGTTGTTAACATTTGCAATTGTAATTATGACATGTCTTGGTGTGGGTATTTTTGGGTGTATCTTGTTTGAAACTGTCTGTGCTTGTGTGACTTCTTTCTTCCCCAAATCAGGGAAGTTTTCTGACATTATTTCTTCTAATAGGTTTTCTAACCCTTGCTACTCTTCTTGTCGTTCTGGCACCCATATTATATATGTTGCTTCATTTTATGTTGACCCAAAGCTCCCTCAGGCTCTCTTCCTGTCTTTTGATTTTTTTCTCCATTTGCAGTTCAGACTGGATATGTTTTGCTTTCCTGTCTTCTAATTTGCTAATTTGGTCCTCCACTTCTCCTAGTCTACTGTTGAAAGCTTCCATAGTGATTTTTATTGTTGCTATATCACTCTTTATTTCCTCTTGATTCTTACATAGGTTGTTAATTTTCTCATCCTTTCGGTTTATGAACTGTATGACCCTTAGACTGAATTTCTTTTCTGACATATTGCATGCCTCTGTTTCATTTAGTTCCTTTCTGGTGATTTCTCCTTTTCTTTCCTGTGGGAGTTGTTCTCCATTTTTGCTTTCACTGAAGGATCTAGGTGTCGAATCACATGGTGCCTATGGCTGCAGTGTGGGGCCTGGTGGTGGGTTGTGTGGTCAAAGGCAGTGGCTGCTCCACTGGCACCGCATGGCAGCTGCTCCTGGTGTGGTTGTGGGCACGGCTGCTCCGTGGACGGTTGCGGGCGGTGGCTGCTCCCCACGTGGTCATGGGCTGTGGCTGCTGCTCATGGGGCTGCTGGCGTGGTTGTGGTGCCTGAGGCTAAAGCGTCTGGTTGGCGGGGGGTGGGAGGAAGTGCACTCTGGAACTCACAGTAGCCCTCAACTGGGGAGGCTAGAGTTTCAGTGTTCATGGGTTCGCAGCCAAGGCAGCAGGTCCCCAGCCTGTGTGGCTGTAGGATCCCGGGTGGTGTCTGAGGGCCCTCTGGGTGGAAGTGAGGCTGGGCTCCCAGTCACGGCAGCTTTTTCCTTCAAGAAGGACCAGCCTCTACAGCAGAGCTGGCACTCCAGGAGCGATTACAGCAGTAGCAGAGGTTGCCCAGCTAGGCAAGCCCAGTCCACCAGCCCT